GATGTAGTGTGAGGAAGCTTCCTAAAAGAGGTGGGATCTGAATAGGAAATGGATAGTGTAAGTATGGGATCAGCAACACTCACCTGCTCAAGGTATGAGTGCGATGTGCCTTGAAAGATGCTGCCCCCACAGAAGGAGGTAAGACGTACCTCAGTTTTTCCTCCATTTGACTTGAGTAAACAGCACTAGAACACGCTGTTTGGTTTTATTCAAATTGAGAGGCATTGTGCCATAGTGACTCCAGAACCAGTGAGCCTTGGGCTCAGGGCCTCCCTCTGAAACATACTCCTTTTGTGACCCAAGGCACACTTGCCTTGGATTTAAACCTCTCGATGCTGTCAGTAGTAGAGAAGGAATTTCCTCGCCAGTGAGTTTCCTGTGCCAATAGGATTACGGGTTCAGTCCCTCTCCCTGTTATTCAGGGTATACAGGCCAAATTGGGGGCTCTTTAAAAACTGACTGAACTTCAGACTGCCTGTTTGCTATCCTATTGTATTTTCTCATTTGTTGTTGTTTGCTTGTTTCAGTCTTGTCTTTGTGATCCCATTTGGGGTTTTCTTGGCAGAGATACTGGAGTGGTTTGTCATTTCCTTCTCCAGCTCATTTTATAGATGAGGAAACTGAGGCAAACAGGGTGGACTTGCCCAGGATCACCCAGCTAGTTAAGTGTCTGAGACTGGATTTGAACTCATTTCCCATGCCTCTAAATTAACTTTAAATTTTTGGCATATCTATCTATATATGTTACCAGAAATGATTTGCCAATGTGACCGATGAATGATGAAGGATGAATTGAACTAGATGAATTCCTAAGGTCTCTTTGAAATCTGAGTTTATCAACTGTAATTTATCATGAATATTCTAGTAACTGAAAATTTAATTTTTATCTTTTTGTTTACTTTAGACAGAAATTGTTTACACACTAATTAGTGTTTTGGGAGAAGCTAACTTAAGAACTTCTGACACATCCAGTCAAATTTGTTTTGAATTTGTGGATGATTTAACGTAATAAGATTGTATGAATCCTGATATCAGACTTCATTTCTCTGTGTTGTATTTTATTATGAAATGGGATAATGTATGTAAAGCCCTTTCTAAACCTTAAAGTGCTCCATGAATGCTAGCCATCATCATCATCGTTATTATTGTTTGCCGTTCAGTCAGTGAGTTAAGGATGGTGCAGTTCTTCGTCCACCTGTATTTATACTGTTTCAGGTTGGAAACTAATAAAATGGAGGTGGTGGAAATCGTGTTTTATGGTGCCGCAGAAACGTTGAGCTTTCCATTAAATGTCTCTTTATGGAGTGTAAGTTACGGCCACAAGGTGGCAGTCTGATCACAGTAAACCCTCTCTGACTGGGCAGGAGTTGGTTCTGGAAAGTTTCATAGAGTATTGTAGGCTACATAGGAGTCTTCTTTGCCTCTCTTTGTGTCCCCAGCACTAGACACAGTGCCTGGTACATAGTAGGTACTTAATAAATGTTTATTGACTGACAGACTCCGGCACATTGAGTGGATCTCCTTTGCTGAATTGAAGGAAGGACATGGACCAGGATCCTACAGGACTGACAGGCTTGGAGAGGCAGTAACTGGTATCATGGGAGGGAACTTCTGAATCAGTGAGATCAGATACACTCAAGTGTAGGTGTTTAAAATAGATCCTGTTTAAGGCCCCCCCCCATAAATGGAGTTTATTAAAGAATCCATTGTCTTGTAATTCCAATTTGGAAATAGAAATAGGTAGGACCTGTCAGTTATTTACTTTGAGAGAAGTTGCATTCTAGAGTTATCTAACAACCTGATATAGGTCACTCTCGAAATATCCAGCTTTTACGCTAGAGCGTTATTTCTCATTTCCATTATGAAGCAGAACGTTTATACTATGACATCAGTATTATAAAAATGAACAGTTTTTGAAAACTCTTATAAACGGATGAAGAAGGAAATGAGTAGAACCAGAACAGTCATACAATAACAATTGTCCAAAACAAACAACTTGGAAAGCTGTAAGAACCATGATCAAGATAGTGACCATTCATGATTCCAGAGGACTGATGATGAAACATGTTCTCTGACAGATTTAGGGTGCCACATGAGACATTTTTCTGTATGCCATTGAGGAAATTTATTTTGCTTGACTGTGCATATTAGGAGAAATTTGTTTTTCTGTTTTAATGGGGTGGGAGTGGAAAGGAGAGAAAATAGATTTCTGGTCATTTTTTTTTTTTAGATAGAGAACTTGGGGGAGTGTTACAGATGTGAAATGCTGTGTGCACTTTCAGATGAAGTCACTGTATTATTAGTTTTACTTAACTGTTTTACTTTGTTACAAGAGACCTCTTATGAAGTGGGAGTAATCTGTAAATGTTAGTAATGTAAAAACAAAACACAGCAATAAAACTTAAAAGAAAGAAACATAATGAGAAGATGAGAAAGCTTTAGGAGATAGGAAAATAAAATTGTAAATTACTGTTTTTTTTCATAACTTTCTTATGATTTCAGTAAAGAAATATTGAGGTCAGCTTTGTGTAAATAGCACAGTGATTCATTTTAAACCATATTTTCCAGTTGTTATTGCTGCTACTTATGCAAAACATACATCTCACACATATTGTGACCCTAACAAAGCTAATTTTTTTTGGTGGCTTTCCTCAGTGTGTATATTTGTGTGGTTGTGCTATATAGGAACACACAAAAAATACACGATACACATAGGGATTTTATTGATGTGATTTCATCATTGTGTGGAAACTCTTTGCAGTGATTTGAATTATAGCTTTTTGACATCTTAATGCCTGTGGCTGTGGTTGAAGTAAATTTTAGTACCTGGTGGCCAGCCTTTTAGGGGATGCATTCTCTAGTGAGTGCTTGGGTTTCCCTCCAGGTGTATTTGTACAGTCACCTGCTCAGCTGCTATAAAGTGCAGCTATGAGAAATGACGTCTCTTATGTGTGTGTTACATTGGGTAGATTCTAGGTATAATGTATGTAGTGGAATTTCACTATGTTAGAAAGGCCAGGGAATGGGGAATTCTGTTGATTGATAATTTTGGTTAAATGAGCATATAAATCATAAGTGGCTTACAAATTTCCAAACAATTACTGAATTGAATTATTGAATCCCACTATAAAGAATATAATCTTTAGTATAGAGAGCACTTGACGTGAGTGTTAGCTGTCACTGAGTACTGTAGATAGAATCAGTATGGGAGGTTGGGCCATTAAAGTTTACTTAATACCAGAGTGGTCAGGCAAGGAAGGTTTTCAAGAGGAGGTGGAATCTGAGTTCTTTTTTAAGGAGCAAGTATTTTAGTAGGTAGAGAGACAGGGAAAGGGGACTTGAGGCAGGTAGAATAGATGAGAGAAAGTACGGAGATGGGAAAGCTCAGGTGAGCTGATTGCACTAATAGGTTCCTTTGGCTGCAGGAGAGCTGGTGTGAAGGTGAGTGGTGAGGAAGTTAGGGTTGGGTGGGATTCTGGAAGTTGTTTAAAATGCTGGATTAAGGAGTTCACCTGTTAAAATGTAGACAAGAAAGAAACTTGATGAGCCCGCTTTGATCAGGTGGGTGATTCTTAGGGTGTGCTCCTGTCCTGACAATTTTGAAATTCGTATCTATTAGTCTTATTGCAACAAATAATAACTCAAAGGCTATTTCATTCATCTTGATTTTTGCTGTTTCCATCTTCTGACTTTATTGTTACAGTGTTAGTAAAGGACCTTCTTTAGTGTGGCATAGAGCAAATCATTTTGAAGGAATAATGCGCTGAACAGTTTGCTTGTTGTCAGTGAGGTTCCTCTTCTATGTCCAGGGATTTTCAGGGAATTGCCGTTTTCTTGAAGAAGAGGAAGAGGTTGTTTGGGGACATATGTGTATAGAAAGAAATGCCTGTTTCATCATTCTTTGCTTAAGTTAACTGATGCATGTCATTGCTGACCAGTACGGTTCCTGCTCTTCAGGCAGAAGGCTGGCTTCTGCCTCGAACCTTATTTACTTTTCAGTTCTGATGATGTCTTTAAAAGCTGTCACCATTTTGCTGCATTGCTTCTAGCTGTAATGGAAGGCAGTGGCAGCCTGCTTGAAGCAGTTGAACCTTTACCTTGACCACTGGAGGGATGTTTGGAAGGGTCCTGATAAACATGGTTAGAGCTGAGTGTGAGGTCATATGGATTATAAATAAAAGGCAAATATTGACCTTTCATCGAAGCTGTTATCTAGGACAAGAGCTAGCAGCTATTTCGATAGGAGCCAGCTCTTTAAATAAGGGACAGGTGGCCTGCTGCTTCCAAGCCCAATCTGTGCTGCCACATTGATTAGCACTGTTTGTCATTCTACTTGCCCTTTTGTTTTTAGGTTAGATTATGGGATTCCCAGGTGCTCTGTAAACCACGGTGGTTAAATAGGCAGTGCTGAGGCAGTGGAAAACACCTAGATTCTGAAACTGAGCAAATGCTTGACTACGGGAGAGCCCTCTGACTCACCTACCACCTAAGTGAGCCTCATAAATTTTGGCTTGGCTTGGCTTGGACTAATGCTGCAATTTCCTGTATTCTCTGAAATTGTTGCCTTTGGTGGAATAACTTTGAATGATGCTGTAGTTCCTAGTAATGTAACTAATGTAAATTTCATCAGGTCTCTGGTTTTCTTACATTTTCTATTTCTAGATTTCTTTTTAGATCTTAAGAAAAATTCACCAATTTTGAAAAAGCCTTTTCCCCTTTAAAAAAAAAAAGAAGACCATACAGACAGAGAACCTGGATTTGAATCCTGTATCTCCTAGTATCACTTGTGTAATCTTGGACATATTGCTTAATTTCTTTCTGACCTCAGTTTCTTTATCAGTAAAATGAGGGAGTTAAATCTCTAAGTTCTCTTCCAGCACTGTGTCTTATGAATTAGCCCCTTAAATATGTTGTTTGGTTCTGACTAGTCTAGCATTCCTGCTTGCTCAATATTTCCAGAAGATGTCAGTATATGATTGTATTTGAATTTTTCATTCCAGCATCTGGGCTAATAGAAAGTGTGGTGCACCCCGGACCTTCCCTCAGAAGTGGAGAAAGCAGTCAGATCCAGTTACAAGTGAATGAGCAGGTTTCTGAGGAAGAAGCTCAAGAACTAAGACAGGTAATAACAAAGTCCAAAATGGTAGTTGGAATATTGACAACATTTTTCTCATACTTTATTTTTTCCTTCTTCCTAAATAATGTCTTATGCTTTTTTCCCCTTTAAAAGGAACATACCTTGTAAGTTCATTACAATAATTCTCCATGGAGATAAGGTAGAATATGGGTCTTAATTAAAATTTCTTAAAAATGTACACCATTGTGTTCTTATCCAAGGCTTTTACTCTTAAGGACCTCAGGGACTTTTTAGCAGTTAGCAAACATTTATTAAATTCCTATTATGTACTACGTTTTAAATTTTGAAAGTTTTATCCAATGCAGAAATTATAAATATTTGATTAAAAATATCACAGAACTCTGTATAACAAGATGTACACACACATGTGTGCATGTACATACATGTACACATATAAATACATGCTTATTCCACAAGAGTAAGTTATTGTTCATGCATAGGTGTTCATATATGTGCATTATGTATGTATGAACACATGCACAGATGCATACACACACACACGTACGCACACACAGATGCTTGTAGAATTCTTTACCAAATTCATATTGCCATCAGTCTTAAGGTTTTATGGTGCTGGTTTTTTCTTCTTCAGCTTCAGTGTTTGTTTTTAATAATGCTGATCATATTGTTTCCTAAGCTCTTTGGGACTCAGATCTATCCTTTTTCATTAAAAAAAGAAAAGCATTCGTCTTTGTAAAGAAATATTTTAAATGTGTCACTGCCCTCTTTCTTTCCTGGTCTTTGTTGTGCCTACTTGGTTTTGGTGATGACAGCACAAAAAAATACTGCTCTTTATTCTCCAACTACTATGTTCCACTAGGGCATTTAATCACTTCCTTTGATATGCTCATTGAGTCCAAAACAAACTTGCTGTAGCTATTGTTTACTTTGGGGGTTTACTGGGAACTTCAGAAGTACTGTAAATGCAAACTTACTAAATGTTACTCTTGACCATTCTTTAAAGGGCTTATAAAAGCCCTCAGGTTACAGGCTGGTAGGATTTGAGTATCTCTTTTCCCCCTAATTTATCTCAGATGAAAACATTGGTAGTCAATACATCCTATCCTGTGTTTAATAGTGGTTACATGTAGGATGAACTAGGAGCTAGGGCTGTCTTGATTGAAAAGGTAAAGATTTCACCTGTAAGGTGTCATTTTTAAGGTTATCACTCAATATTTTATACCTTCTCCATGTGGGGTACTCTGCTAGGTGTTGGGAGTATAGAGATGAAAAATGACAGTCCTCTTATTCAAGCAGTTTATAATCTAAGAGAGTAATAAAATAAGTACACCAAGAAGTATGATACACGGTAGAAGGTAATGGATAAAGGAGAAAAATAGACAGATTGTTCTAGGAACGGTTGGTAAGGGAGAGATCCCTTTCAACTTGAGAACTCAGGAAAGACTTCATAGAGGAGGTGGCATTTGAGTTAGGGTTGTAAGATTGAGATTTCACCAGGGGGTGATGAGGAAGGGCCTGCCAAGCATGGGAGGGCAGCTTGCACAGGTGTGGAAGTAGGGAAGTGCAAGATGAGATCAGCAGACAGCTAAGAGTCCAGTTTGGCTAACCATTGAGAGGTGCTGAGGTTTGGGGGATCTCTAAGAAACCAGTCTGAGTAGTTTGCTCAGCCCATTTCAGCTGAGAGGAAAAACTGGAGTAGTAAAGATAATGTAAAAAGGGAGAGGGAAGGATGAAAAGTAGCATTTAGTGCCTGCTGTGTACCAGGCACTGTGCTAAGTGCTTTTAGAAATATTTCCTCCTTTGAAGTAAAGAGGATGAGAATACCTCTCAAAGCAAAAAAACCCCCCCCAAACCCAACAACAACAAAAAACCACTCAGTGGAATATGCTGATAGGAATGCCCAAGTGATGGGGGGACAGTGAAGGAAAATAGTTAATAGACTTACAATGAGATGACTCAGAATGAAAAATAGACCTATTTCCAAAACATCTGAAAGAGTTCCTTATTTGTGGAAGATGGAGATATGGAACCCAGGTACATAAGAGCAGAAGGTTTAAATAGGCTGGAGAAAAAAGCTACAGTATCACCTGAAATGCCAATGTACTATAGCTTCATAGTCTAGCTGCTTGGTTGCTAGTACCTATATAGGAGGTAACTAGCAACAACTCCTGAATAAGTGTCAAACAATTAAAGCAAAACTGAGAAGAACGATAGCAGAGAGAAAGACACCCAGTGTGGAGGGTATAGTAGTCACAGATCCTACCTTTCCTGCCCAAAGTGTAAGGCATAGGGACCATATAGGTTCTTAGGAAGAGTAATGGTCCTACTGGAGATTGGGGTGGGTGGAGGACTCTTAACTTCCTATGGGCCTCTCTTCCTTTAACATGATGAAATTTATTTATATAAATAAAACTTTTTTATGTTTTGAAGCCTTGTGAACCTGCATGCTTGTAAGGGAAGTTGGTGACTACCCTTAGGGAAATGCTGGGTATTCATATTCCCAGGCTGCTCCTAGGTGGGGTCAGTGATCCATGTAATTGAGAGGTATACCTATACCTGAACTTCTTTCAGGAGAGAGTTTCTGACTCAAGAGTAACTTAAATATTTATGTAAAGGTAACCAACAGGGTACCTTATGTTAGATGGTAGACAATTATTGCTACTATGATTCATGCTTATTTACCTAGCTATGAAGAATTAAGAGAATTTAGTTAAATGGAGAAGAGAAGAAATAAAAGTAAAGGAACTCTTACTTTATTATTCCTCTGTGACTTTTTTTTTAGAAATAATAAATTTTCTATAATGAAAAACAAATTTTGAAAATATGGAATCCTTGATTTATATTTAGGAAGGAATGTTTTGCAGGACAGTGTAATTGTAGCTTAAAAATAAGTGTGAAGGGGCTCCATTTTTAGGGGAAACAAACACAAAAGGAAATCTCACTGCATTCAGCTGTAGCTTTGGTTGTAGACAGTATTCAACTTAGTACATTGCAGCTAGAAGTCTTCGTGGTCTTAAATTGCAATTGGGAGTTTAAGTGAAAGGATTTGCCATGATTTCACCAGGGGACATTCATGGTAAGTGTGGTATTTTGTGGTTATCTGGGCCAGGTGCCAGGAGCTGTACTGTATAGGTATGCAGCAGCTTGCTGAGTTCCTGTGGTCTATGTCTGAGCCTCTGTCTACTGGATAACGATGGCTGTCGTAATGTCACTGGGTGTGGGAAGGGCTAGGACGGTATTAGCTGAAGGGCTGTGGTTAGGGAGGCTAGGAGAGGAATTTTATTCACTAGATTTGGTTTGGCAGAATCACTTCAGTAGTTTCTGATGTCTGATATGTTAACATTGTCTGTTAGAGCTATGGCCGTTTTGTTTATTACCCATTTTGTAATGGCGACCGAATTTTGAAATGCAAAACTTTTTGCGTATTTGGGCTTCTTCAAAGTGACTTTTTGTTTTATGTAATACTTTAAAAAAAAAACACCCCTCCATTTCTTTGTCTCTTCTTATGATGGTATTTAATGTTCATCTCCTTTTAACTGGGGGGGGGGAATTAGATGGAAAAATACTGTGGGGATAAGGTAATGGTTTTGTTGAGGACTTACTTGATTGTGTGGGTTAGGAAAACTCATAGAAATTAGAGATAGCAAAACCTTTTAGTTTAGCCATTGTCAGTTGGCACTTGTCCAAGCTCTTAGAGAAATCCAGCAACAAGGCTGAAAGGAATTTAATAACTTTGGCCTTTTCCTAGTAGCTTTTTTGCTAGGGTTTTCTTAGACATTTGTGATAGAAAGGGATATGAAATGGCATATTCTAATGTGTGGGTGGGCCAATAGGACGTTTTGTGGGCTGGTGGTTTTTGCTTTTTAAACCTCTTTGTTTCACTGTATTAGGACATTTAATAAACCTAAAATATAATTGGTCTGTACAGTATCAACACAGCTGGCTCATGTAGTCAGGTTAGTTGAATATATAGTTATCTCATAAAGAAAAATATCTGAACCTGGGTAATGTGTATCAAAAGCCATTTGGCTCAAAAATTCGTATAGACATAAATAAGCACTATGAATGAGAAGAAACGAAATATGCCCAATTATCTCTAAAGAAATTACAAGACATTGAAACATTTTGAAATATGTTGATTATTGTTTAATGGAATATGTGATTTCTAACAGTTATATTAAATCTTTCAGAAATATAAGTGGAAGGAAGCTAGAGGAGTGATCTGGTTACCTTGCCTTTAGGTAGTAATAACTCCCATTTCTCGAGCAGTTTAAAGTTGACGTAACACTTAATTCCTATAAGGTGAGTAGTACAGGTATTCTTATCTTCATTTTACAGATGAGAAAACTGACTTAAAATTTACTCTTTACTCTTTACCATGTCACTACCTCTTCCACCACCACCACTGCTTCACCACCAGCATCAGCATCCTCTTCCTGCTCGTATTTGCAGTGAGTGTGAGCTTACAGAAAAGGGGCTTAGGGCCTAATACTTTTATTTATTTACAAATGCAGTTATTTTATCCGCCTGCTCAGTAACATTAAGTGTAAAAGAGTAATAGCAGTTAGATAATTGTCCCCAAACTATTTCTATCTGAACCCCATTGAAAAATAGGAGAAGCATGAGATAATGATACTACTAATACCTTATATTGATAATACTGTTTTACAATTTATAAAGTATCTTCTCACCACAATCTTGTGATGTAAGTTTTATAATATTCCCATTTTATATATGAGGAAACTGAGACCCAGAGAAGGTGACTTGCATATAGTTTTTCTGTGCCCAAGTCCTGTATTCTTTCTACTTTATCACTCTGCCTCCCTGAAACCATTCTTTTTTTTCCCCCCTTTTTTAAAAACCGTACTTAATACTTGAGAATCCATTCTTTTCAAAAAAATTCATAAAGGAGTTTCTATGACATTCAGGACCTGAAATGAGTTAACAGTCGTTTATGTTATTGACATGTTTGATCTGAAGATGACACCAAGCTAGAAGGAATAATTGACACGTTGGATGTTATA